TGTGTGTGTGTGTGTGTGTGTGTGTGTGAGTGTTACCTGAGGGCATGTTTCTCCCTTTCGCCTCCATCTCCTCTCCCCCCTGCTGCTGCTGCTGCTGTTCTTCTTCTTCGTCAGTGAAGAGCTCTCCGTAGCCCCGGTCCGAGCCGCCTCCATCCACCGTTTATCCGCTTTCTCGCCCCTGCCTCTTTCCTGGCTCTTCTTCTGCCAGTTCTTTTCTTCCTAATAGTTTCTTTTTAAATCTTCTGCCTTTTCTTCTCGTGCGTTTCCCCCCTCTTCTCCTTTTACATTGAGCGCTCTGTCGCTCCTTTTCAGCAAGTAGGGGATACTTCACTTTGCGTCCTCTCTTCTCATTGAATTGTCATGGCAGTCATCTTAGCTACTGAGAGAAGCAAGAAAGAGGTGGAGGGGAGGGGAGGGGGGTAAAGAGCAGATGAGAGAGAGAGAGAGAGAGAGAGAGAGTGAGAGAAAAGACTGAAAGAGAAGGATGGAAGTAAAAGGACAGGAGAAGATGCGGGAGAGAAAGGAGAGAAGAAGATGAGAAGATGAGAGGTGGGGTGGGGAAGATGGGGGATTTGATTAACGAACGTGACATGAGTCTTGAGAGCAGGGGATGCTCCTGTACAGAAACATCTTCCGCACAAACATATTTTCTATATGAGCATCATGTGTCATTGAAAAACAAACAAACAAATAAACAAACATTCAAAACCTGATGCCGGCGGCAAAAAACAAGCCCCATGTCAAACAAGAGAAGCGGGTTTGCCTCCACATAGAGAGAGAGAGGAAGAGCGAGAGAGAGGGGGGAGATAAAGCAATAGAAAAGAACAGGCAATGCGAGAGAGCGTGCTCTATTCCATTGCCATGGCAACAGTGAATTCCAAAGTCTACGGTGGAGCTGGCGAGTGTGCGTGTGTGTATGCGTGTGTTTTATGTGTGTGTTGGTGGAGTAGAGGACTGGATGTAACAGCTGAGAGGATTTTGCTGAGATAAAAAAAAGAAAAAGAAGTCCCTGAATTCCACTGGTGTGCAGAGGAGCTGGGATGTCACACACCATCGAAAGCAACGCACACGTGTAGGTACGCGGTGGTCATACATGACTGCATACAGTACAAGAGGAATGAACATTCACAAGAGAGATGACAGACATGTGAGTCATTAGCGCAGTGGTCACAGTGTCTCGGCATGTTTCATCCATCCAACTTTCTTCCCGTTGGTGCGACGGCTTAATCACGCGCGCTTAACACTGTGTCATGTTTTGAAATGCACAATACAGCGGATCTTTCAAAGCCGAAAGATCCTGAGCGAGGAAAGATGCGATGCCTTGCCCGAGGGCGCTTCGGCAGAGCAGCTGCTTTCCTGCTTGAACTGACATCCTTAGATTTCAACAAGCAGAGTCTTCCTGAAGTGAAAATCCCCATCGGCACTGACACTGGGTCAGGTTTTGCTTCTTTTTTTTTTTGCTTTTTTAATGCAAGCTGTTGCCAAAAACTGCAGGGCACCTAAAATCCACATGAGAGACATCTGCAGCAGCACAGCAGGGGATGCTGAGTTGTTTCAAGTCAGCAGCACATCTTGAGGCACATCTGACCAAAAAAAAAAAATCCCCATTTGAACACTCCCAAGAAAATGACAACACTGGTCCTCTGTTCAGATACAACAGTTGTTAACATTTATCTGAAAACAACTTCTAACACAGCACTGGCATTCCTCACACATATCTACATATACTAGAAAGGTGATATACAATATGATCTTATGAATGGCTTGTAAGTCTAGTATCAAAGTATTTGATTTGTAACTCCAAAACCTGTGCTCTGTTCCTGATATTTTTTAAATTTGACTTAAAGAACACGGGCAGGATGATGGTGGGACAGTTAGCACTGCACAGCACGAAGGTCCTGAGGTTGACTCCACCCAGTGTCTGGGGCCTTTCTGTGTGGAGTTTGCATGTTTGTGTGGGTTTTCTCCAAGTGCTCCAGTCCACTCACAGTCCAAAGGCATGCAGTTAGTGAGGTTAGGTTCACATGTTCATAGGTGTGAGTGTGAATGGTTGTCTGTCTATCTGTGTTAGCCCTGCGTCAGACTGGCAACCTGTCCAGGGTGTACCCCGCATGGTAGCTGGGATAGGCTCCAGCCCCCCTGTAACCCTGCCCAAAAGACAGTATAAGAGAAAGACGTAGCTCCTGGGTCTCTCCACTGGTGAAATGTCTTGAAACTATATTTCGTTTAATGGCCACTGGGGTGGAGGAGGCACTTGACATCTGTAAACACTTTCCTAACGAGTTCACGATCTCAGTCACTCATTTTGGGTCGCAGTGAATAAAACATTAAGTCCATTTTGGTCACTTTAAGTCAGAAGATTATCCAGGGCATGCTCATTGGTTAAGAACATGTGACATACAAGTCATTAACCAGCATAGACAGATCCATCTCTCGCTCGTCACATCTGGTTTGAAAACACCAAGATCGTGTTGGTGAACACGCTAATTAAAAGACTATGTCTGTCTTTTAAACAGATGACTTTGTCTGGCATTGTTATGGGAACACACGTTACCAGTACAAAGCTGCATCCACTGGTCTGACTGCAGTGACTAAGGTGCGAAAATCTAAGGAGCTTGGAAAGAAAAGCGTCTGGACTTCTTTGAGTTGCTTGAAGACGTTTCACCTCTCATCCGAGAAGCTTCTTCAGTATCAAGAATCTCTTTCCTCTACCAAAAGAAACTGCATGGGCTTTGCTGCTTACAGGGGCTCTTCTAAGTTAACATAAAGTAGTGAATCAAGATTATCGGCAGAAATCAAAGCTTTTTTGTGGCAGCAAGTAAGCAAAGAGCCGATCCAGACAAAACTGTACAGAACACTCTAAAGCTGGCCGAAACTCTTCAACACCTCCGCCCCCACCAGGGAATGACAAGGAAAAATTTAGTATCGCTTCTCACAATTTTTGGCTCACGAAACCCTTTAAACTCGCAGTCAAAGTCCTCGTGAAAACGCCAAGGTGTGAATGTTGATCATGCAGCGTTTAAACATCTCTTCTGCCTAGAACAAGAAAAAGCACCGACATGCTATGCTCTCATTCTTGGATTTCTAAAGAGAACACCTGAACCATGAATCGGGCTTTCATGTTCAGATGAGCACGAGCTGATATGCGAGGCTCCCAAATAGCACCTCTCTGTACACCTTATCTTTCAAGCATCTAGCCAGAAGTAACATTTTGTGAAGATAAGTTCTTGTCACTGTTGCAAACATTAAAAGCATGAATATTGATCTTTGGGACATAATCAGATGAACGGTTTGAATAATTGCAAAAACTGTAAATTATAAGGTTATTGTAAAATATTTGTATGAGTTTAGCTTTTTTATTGCAAGAAATGTAAACATCTATAACCAGAAACGTAGCTAATGTACATGAAGCCCTTGATTTTCCCTTGCTTTTTAAAATCTATTTAAATCCTACAGTGGAGTATTAGGGATGTCTGTGAAATAAAAAAAATACTAGTGATTATTATTCCTGTTTTTTTTAATGCATATAAGATAAGAAAGCTGCATCTAGGTCTGCATCAGGTAAACATGCTGATTTAATGGTAAATTGCAGAATTATTGCAGCATGATAGAAATTGCAGGTGACCTTTTTCAGTCAATATCAAATTCATCTGCAAAAATACATTTGGTATATAGACCACAGAATCTGTCCTTCTTTTCAAATGACAATTACAGAGTATTATCAAAACTGTAATACAATGTGAGTTTATGAACAGCCCATCTAGTGGTCATTAGAAGAAGTGCACTGCACTCAGCATTCATCTTGATTGCTTCTTTTTTTAACCCCCTTTGAAAGCCCTGCAGGACCCCTGGGAGGCCTGCAATCAGTAACAGCAATCAAAACACAAATAGGAACATCAGACATTGTTATTTTGTACTCAGAACCCTGAATATAAACCTGCTTTTTCAGACTGACAGCGTGCATTAGGAGGGCGCCTCCTCCAGTAGCAGCACAACATGGATAAACACATGTTGAAAGGGCTCGCCGGCGGCAGCACAAACACAGAGGAGGAAAGTTCAAGGACACATCAGCCACACTCTGCATCAGGAACACAAGCAATGGTGGGAATCCTGCTATGAATACAGAACAGAAGAAGAACGTGGACAAACTGTAGCAGCTCACTGGAGCAATGGTCATTATTATGACAGCAACAGAGGGGAGCAACCATCTCAAACCATCAAGTTCAAGTCCGGGGAAAAATCAGGATACAATTACTATGTATATATTACATAATTATTATACTGTACACACACGTATGTCTTTACAGCCTAATGCTTATTTAATAGACGCACTTTGCAGAAATTAGTATTCGTTCTTCCAATCTCGCTCCCTGTCTGTTTTAATTTGTTTTTGTTTGCATTTCACACACACCACCACATTATTACAACCAAATAACAGATATACTGGCTTTTGCCACTATTTTACCTTTGTAGACATGATTTTCTGCCTGCCCTTAATTCCATATGCAATCACACAAACTCCCATTTTCCTATTTTATAAACATAAAGTCTGGCATTGGTTTATAGGAGTGTTACAGTAAAATTGGTGCTTTGAGAGAGTTATGTACTATGATGTTCAACTTACTTTTAGAAATAAAAAAATGTTAAACAAATTCTAATATTGACCAAAAAGTCCAGCTGGAGCAAAGTGAAACTTAATATGCGCGGAGCCCGATCACTTGGCGTCCTTGAGTAATATACGATACTCAGACAGAGAAATCTAAATCCAGACTCCTGCCCAGAGAGCCCACACTCTGTATATCCCCCTGCACAGCGGATCCTACACATGCCATAAAACACATTGTTCTCTAACAAAGCACAGCAGAAACATATCAGTCAAGCTGTGATGGGTCTATTTTAAAAAAAAGTGAAATTTTCTGCTGATGAAAATAAATCCCTTACACTCAGAGACTGTTTATAAAGGACTGAGTCGAGCATTCAGTCCGTTCCCTCTACATACCTATAAGTTTGCTGTATCTCATCCTTGATCTTGTTTCCACACTATTCACTATTTTCTCTTCCCTCGCTTTCATCGTGGCTGTCTTACCTTGAAAAACGTCCTGTTCCTCGGCTCTCCTTTAGTTACTTTTACCTTTAATGTGACACTTTATTCTGCAAAAGCTCCTTTAAACGTTTCCTTGTAAACACGCGTACAGAACGATGCGCGATCGCTGCCACACGATTTTATCCAGAGTACAATGCTTGCATGTGGCGCGCTCTTCCACGGTCTAAGCCGATCGGATTGACGCGCTGTCATATAATCAAGGTAATACATATGTTATTACATAAGACATAAGACTGTCGTTTGAATAATAACGTGTATTAATTATAGTCTTACCTCTGGAAAAACAACTTTTTGCAGCGGTGCTCGTGCAGGTTGTGACGAAGCCCGTGATTGGAGAGAGCGAGAGAGAGAGAGAGTGATGGGTCGGAAAGAAGGAGGATGCGAGGACTGGCTGTTTTTTTACACACTAGTGTTTGTAGTGAATGCAGCTCTGATAATGATGCTGATGGTTGTTTTTTTGTTTTGTTTTGTTTTTTTTGTTTTTTTGTAGATTTAATCAGTGAAGGAACATTTTGTCACATATTGGAGTTTCAAACGTTTCTTGAGGTTTTACAGAGCTGTTAGTTTCCAGTGTCCTCAGTGAAAATGGTATAGAGGCTTTAGGCTGAGAGAACAGGTGTGACTGAGTTATTCTTGTGACTTAAGTCAAAAGTCAGAAGATGTGGCATTTTCGTGTCTAAATGTGCCTCAGATCTAAATGGGGAAAATCAGGTCAGATCAGAGCTGAACAGCAGGGGTTGCAAGAAATTCTTAATCCTTCAGATGTGCCCACTTTCCTGAAAATAAGTGAATACATTACTTAAAATAAATAAATAAATGAAAATGATCTGTTATAAATAATCATTTTAGGGGCCAGATCTGCCCAGGGACCAAATCATTATGATCCAAGCAACCACCCTCACATCACCCATGTTATGTGGAATCCAGCTTTGCTGTTGGATTTGGGATATCTCTCTTCTCTGACTTTAACACCCATCCCAAGACTGAGAACTGCCACTTCCTCGTCGGGTTTCAAAGGTCATAAAATGCTATAGTTTACAGTATCAAAAAAGCATGTTCACATTATGGTACAGGAAAAAAAAGTCATTTTCACCTCTGTAGATCTGTAGATGGGTTTGCTGTTCATAACACCTGTACAATGGCAGGTTTTCGTTTATTTTGACTCATCCATCTGGATTCTTATGGTTCTGTTGGAGGTTTCTTCCTGTGAAAAGGGAGTTTTTCCTTCCCACAGTCGCCAACGTGCTTGCTCATAGGGGGTCATATGATTGTTGGGTTTTTAATGTAGGGTCTACCTTACAATATAAAGCGCCTTGAGGTGACTGTAGTTGTGATTTGGTGCTGTATAAATAAAACTGAATTGAATTCTTGTAAAGCTTAAAGTTAGTGTCATGACTCTCTTAATGGACAGGTGACAGGGAACAGTAGCTGACCTGTGTCTGCTTTGCTTCACCTTCACTAATCAGAGACACTGAACTGGACCTCTCTACGGTTAGTGCTGTTGGTGCCTTTCAGAGCATTTTAAATGCAATTATCTTAAAAGTAATATGTTGTTTTCTGTATGCTACATAAAATCCAATAATCTTTAATCAGCTTTAGTTTAGGTGAATGAAATCCTAGTATTTTAGTCTTCTTGTACTAAGTAACAATAACACTTCCCTTATTTCATATTTAGTGAGTTCTCGCCCCAGAACACAAAAACCAATGTGCAGTGGAACATAAATCAATATCCATCCATTCTTTACAGTTTTCCTTATTTAAGGTTGCAGAGGGGTGTGGAGCCTGTTCCAGGTCAAGATATGGTGTAAACACTGAATGCCACACATCACAGAACCTGGCAACCACACTCCTATCTACGCCTGTGGCCAGTTAGGAAGTTTAGACCCAGTATCTACTTGCTGGGAGGAAACAGTGCCAACTGCTGCATTACCATGTTAATCTTTTTAAAAAATGTCTCATATTGCAATATATAAACTTTTCTGCCCCCAATAGTTGACAAAACAACAAGGAAACCAAACACTTTTTCAAATACCAGCCTGTGGTTAGTTATTTGTGCCACTCCCAAATGAGAATGAATGATGATGAGATGGCTAAAACTTTTATTTAAGTGATCTTCACAATCAAGATATGGTGTAAACACAGCAGGGTGGAACTCCCAAATCTTTAGGAGTGACCTAAAATGTTAAGCATGTCTGCAGGGGGTTGATGATCGCTGAGTGAGTACAGGAAAGGTGCTAAAATTCTGGCTTAAAAAAGAGAAAACACAAAATAAAGACATTTATACTGTTCTGGGTTAGATCGTCACAACTCTGGCTATGTTACTGACATGATGCAGCCGTACAGCTGATTGCTACACTTTGTTAACCAACACTGTTGGAATTCACTGACAACACTGCAAATTCGAGGCTTCATAGTGACACCTCACAAACCAGTGAATGATGTTATGGTGGCTATGACCTTCTTTTAAATATGATGCACAGTCCAAACCCACTTTCATCAAAATGAGTTTGGAATTTTCAGGAATTTCTCACAGGATCCATGAAGGAAGCCAAGATGAAATCTGTAAATGATTCCAGTTATTTTTTCTTCTTTACATTAGGATCATCATACTGTCATCATGTAGGAAAAGATTTGAGTACAAATACAGTTATTGGATCAGACCAGAATCTGCATGTTCTAAACGTTAGAGGACTCAGATTCTGATGATTGATGATTATGAAAGTTGTGTTGCCCTACAGCCATGTAAGACAGAAGAAAAAAGAAAGAAATAAGAATGAGGTGAAAAATGGCTGTGGAAAGGAGAACGGACAGAATGGGACAACCTTTACAGGTTTCATAAGGAACACAGAGGGAGCTAAACTAAGATGGATAGTCAATATGGATCAGAAGACCGCAGGGGGGAGAGGATAGTCGATCGGGAGAGAGAGAGAGAGAGAGAGAGAGAGAGAGAGAGAGAGAGAGAGTGTGTGTTGGAAGTATTCAAAGGAGGGGATCCAAGGCAATAAAGACAGACAGAGAGGAAATCAATGTTCAGGCCAGAGAAACAAACATTTAGAAATGAACTGCAGTCCCTCTCTGTAGTGACAGTAAAAGCCCAAACTTCCACTAGCATTCACAGTCCAGTCACACAGCGGGCAGCTGGAGATTACACAAAAAAAGAAGAGACTCATAACACTGTCAAGACCTGGGAAAAAGCCCTGACTCAGGTACGTGAGATTTTGCAGTAAAGGGATGTTTTGCTTTAGTTATTGGTATTTCAGGCATTGTATGAATATTGTTGAAGTGTGTTGGTCAGTCAGTGCACCAGTTTAGGACAGTCTGAACTATATGATCTTCTATGATGAAATCAACCTGATGGCTACAGCCATGGTCCGAGTCCCTTAAAGGAGATGTAGAAAAACACAGTAACTACTCCTCACATCACCACTAAGGCAGGTAATGTTAAACATGAGAGCTTCCTACATACATTCATGTCCCATAACGTATTCCATTTAATGTAGTTTCTTAAACATTCATCTAGTGCTATTATCAGATCAAAAAATGTTTCGTTTCATTTCAGTAAATATGCGCTGAATCAAAAACACTTGAAGGTTACTGTTTAGACCAGGGATGCCAACCTAAGGCCCAGGGACCAGAATCGGCACAACAAACATTGGACATCTAACTATCGTTCAAAAGTTTCACAGCTTTTTTGACTGTTCAAGACGTCCACTGGGGCATTCATACCGCTCTAAAGTAATTAAGTAAGAGATAAACAAATAATGGAAATGTTTCTGTCTTTCACCAGCTACTATAGAAAAAGTAGATGGGGCACAAATGCATAAATAATGCATTTTTTTCACAGAGGTTACAAAAATAGCACATTTTCATATATTAAGATATCTGGGGGATTAATTGCGTAGTTAAACTTTACACCCATAGGAAAGGGAGTATCACAGGCCAAGCACACTTAATATCAAAGTGGTCTGTCTGTGGCTCATTATGTAAAATGAGTTTGAAATACCTGGTTTAGAGCATTTTCCTTATTCTAATATAAACTGCTGAGGCAGACAGGGTCATCAACATTGGCATGCAAAAACATAGTACTAAAGATGATGCTTATAAATGTGACCATTTTAGTCAGTTAGTCCTCTTTTCCTCTGCCGAAAATAGTTTGGAAATTTTTTCTTTAGTGAATGCAACAATAGATTTTGATAGATGTCGCTCAGGCATTTTGATAGATGTCACCCAGTTTTGTTTTGTTTTTTTCAAGCTGAAATGTTCCTGAGACAAAGGTAATTAGCCTGAAGAACAAAGGAGGTCTTAAAAGGTATAAAAGTATAAAAATACATAGCTGAAATTCCAGCCCAGTTATGGACCATTTGACTTTGGACAACGTTCTTGTCCCTTTGGGATTCCTGATAACTGGACAGACACTAATTATAAAGTTTGCAAGTTCCTTTCAAACTTGTCGTTGCTTGGAAGTGAGAATGATGTAATGGTGTCTGCATCACTGAGCTCACAGCTGCACTTTTCATTAGAGCAGCAGGAACACACTCTTCTGATCAGAGAGAGGAAGTTTCAGGCATTTTATGGGCAGCTGGTCTGACACAATTCAGACAAGTTATTTAATATAGCTTGATTAATGTGTTTAATAACATGTTGTTAACAAGGAGGCTCATCTGACCACAATGAGAAGGATGATGAGGCTTAGAAGATTGAGGTATGTTGCAATAGGAAGACAACTGCAGCACCTTTTTGTAAAGCACCCAATGGAATGGACCAAATGAACACAGTTCACATTATATGTACGTTAGGTTAGCATGTTAGGTAGTGATTCATACTGTGGGCGTAAAGGTGAAAATCAATGGCTGTCTGTCTGTGTGTCTCTGTGTTAGCCTCATGATGTGCTGGAAACCTGTCCACAGCGTACCTTATCTCTTGTCTCATGACAGCAGAAACAGACCCTGAATTGGATAAGCGGTTTAAGGAAATTGATGGATGTGTCAGGAATGGCAGTGGAGGTGTTCATGAGGACCCACAATAAATAACACAAGGTAGATGAAATAAACTCGAACCCAACAGTCAGAAATTGAATTGAAAATAAAGCAAAGTGGGCTCTGAAGTAAAACCCAAAACAGACAAAATCATAGTTTAACTGATTTATTGGAATACAGTGAGCATGCACATGCAGAGATGCCAGCGAGGAAGACTTTCAGGAGACTGAACAGGTAATTGGGAGAGATGCTGAGGTTGGTAATGCCAGCAGAGTACACAGAAACACCCATAGAATAATTTGTGAGGTGAGTACTCAAAGGAGTTGTAGAAGGGTGGCAAGTATGTTAATACAGAGAAGTTTCACTGAAAAGCGAGCTGTTCTTCAGCCACAC